CTCCTCTTGGCCGTCAAGAGTGTATGCCGAGAGGATTCTTCTCAGCCGAGAGTGTAACCTCTCAACGGCCGAGAGGGTTTCTCTCGGCCGCTGAGAGTGTAACCTCTCAACGGCCGAGAGGGTTTCTCTCGGCCGCCGAGAGTGTAACCTCTCAACGGCCGAGAGGGTTTCTCTCGGCCGCCGAGAGCGCAGCCTGTCAACGGCCGGGAGAATTTCTCCCGGCCGTTCCTTTTCTTTTTTTTTTCAGCGCCGACTCCAAACCCCCATGGGGTTTTGGAGTATCGACTCCCAAAAACCCCCGAGGGGGCTCGAAAAAAAAATAAAATAAGTATTATTTTATTAGGGAGTCGACTCCCAAACCAATCAAAGGGTTTGGAGGTCCGACTCCCAAAAAACGGGGGAAAAAAAAAATTAGGGGGCCTGACGTCCGGAGGACCGTCCGCAGACAGTCCTCAGGACGTCCCCAAAATTTGGGAGTCGGAACTCCAAATTTTGGGAGTCGTTTGACTAAGTCCCTATATTTAATGTCAAATTTGATGGGATCACACATCAACTGAAGTATCTTGGTTAATTTTCCAACACCTTCCTTTAGGTTTTCTTTTAAACCCAAATTATTGTTCACTTGGATTTCCCCTCCATTCATTCTCTCATTTTCTTCATTCAAAATGAGAGATTTTAAATCATCACTGTATGTTTCAATTGAAACTGAGTTGATCTGTTTCTTCAATTCTTTGGGTAAATTCAAAATGCCACCTGAACATCTGCGCCTAAGGTTTGAGATTTTCATTGATAGAGAGTTAAGTATGAATATTCTTTCCTCTGTTTCACCAAAATCTATGACAATTGCAAAATAAAATTCATTCATAAATTCCACATCCATAATTCAAGAATCAAAATCAAAAATTAGTGTTACCTTTGAAGAAACCATGTGTCAAAGGCCAACTCCACTGCTTAACCATTGATTCCAAAATATCTGAAATGTATGTAGAACCTCCATAATATTTGTTTATTTTTATACAATAATGAATTGAATATTGAAGCAACTCTTTTACCAATGTCTTATCATGAAAATAAGATTGGATTCTTTCCTGTCCAATCAGACCTTCTTTGCTCAAAAATTCAACAACATTGCAGAGGTACTTTCCTGATGGAACAACTCCTACTTTGTGATAAAATCTCAGATGACTGTCCTGGATATTGTAATTAATCATGATTTCTTTCATATCATCCATAATTGAACTGCTGATCTTCTCCCAAGTGCTCTTCAAAATTTTATCAACCAGTTCTATAGGGTATTTATTTAACCTTGTCAAAACTTCTTTATTTATATTCTTCTTTGAGACTGCTAATTAAAAGATTCTATGGAGATTCTGAGATGAATGCAAACCTGCTAATTCAAGTAATCTGATCTCTTTCAAAATTGAGAGCTTCTCTTTTGTGTTTTCAAAAAGTTTTTTTGTTGATTAAATCTTTTCCTTTTTATCTTCAGTTATTATATCTTTCCTCTCATAACCTTGAGGTAATTTTCTATCCTGTAGTTGGATTCCAAAAATCTCTTCCAAATCTTTATCAAGTGAGAGGAATTGATCTAACCTTGCAGAAAATGTTTTATCAGGGATGGTATTCCTCATAAATTCTGAGGAATACAAAAGTTTTAAACTTACCATGATTTTTACCCCAAAATTTCAACAATATTACCACTGATCAAATCACTCTTATCAGCCAACTGTCTATCAAATACCCATTAAGTTGAATTATAATTTGTTTTTACTGACCTTTCTTAGGGTGTAAATACTTGAATGAAGGTGACTCCTGGATTAATCTTTGAAATACAGATCTGCAATGATTGTTGTGTTTACAAGGACAAGAAATGCTTGGAGTTGTAGCCAAGGGGATGATCTTCTGTCTTTTTGAATCCATGATTTGTTCTACATTCACATCCAATTCCTGATACTGTGGATTTAAAATTGAAGTCAGGCCTACCAGAAGTTTTTTTAAGCACAAAGATCATATTCAGTTGAAGTTGGGATTGGTTTTCAGAATCACAAATAAGCTGTGCACACCCTGGATTGCTTTAGAATCATTTCCCTCCATCTCTGGATCCATCATACGCTTCATACACCAAGCAGTTGTGAAAAGTCCAAAAATTATGCATTGAGCATGCATTTCATCAATGATAAGTGGTTGGGCTTGAAAATGTTTTGAATTTTGGCTGATATTTGGGGAATGAAATGTCAATCCATCAATACTAATTTCAAATTTAGTAATAGGGTAGTGTTTCCCCCCTCTGATAACTGCTAGCAAGACACATCAAATGGTTTCTGAGACATGCCTCAGATTCTCAAGTATGTTGAGTTTTATGTGCACTTGCTGTATTAGGGCCAGCTCAGCCTCTGACATGGAAGTTTCAACTTGCAGGAAATTAAAGCTTATAAGATGCAACAAGTGTTGACTGAGGTTTGCCAGCTGGTTCCAGCAAAATATGTATTGTCTTTCCTGAAAAGCTTGGCCACTTTTTGATCACACTTTGTGTTTTCAAAACAATTTTTTTTGCTTGGTTTTATATTGAAATCTGTGATGAGCTGTTGGAGTTGGAGCCTGGAATTTTACATATGTTCATAGCCTGTTATGTACATGTCACAACTCCCCAACTTGGAGTTTGTTCAAGATTCACACCTTGTGTATTCCTCATCTTGTAATGTACCACCAAGAACAAGAACCCAGAATGTTGAGTTGTCATGTTGTAAGCCCTGCTCCTCATGACTTACACAAACATGTCACTAGATTACATAAGCTCAGTTCTGCCTTGTATTTAGTCCCGCACTTCCCCTTCACCTAGACAGCAGAGATCTTTCTCTCCTGTCTAGGTAAGTACCCTGCCTTCCCTCCTCCTCTTCTCATTTCCTTTTCTCACTTTCTATCATTTGTATATACTAACAAGAGATATTTCTCTCCTGTCTAGACTGCAATTAAACCCACTTTGGTACTAGAACTTCTCCGTAGGAGCTATTGAGCTCCTTTGCTAGTGCCATTTCTGACGGACAGTGAAGGACTTGACGGAGTCCTTACACTTTTTTTTTCTAGTTCCAGAAACAAATCCAGAAGATTTTTTTGAAATTCTTCATCCTTGATGTTACTTATCTGACTTACTCCAAATTAACTTCTCCGACAACAATTTACTCTCCTTGGACTTCAATCCACCTCGACTGAGCTCCACAGGATTCTGATATTTCTTGCTCCATTGGCTTTGAGCTCTCAAGATACCGACTTGACTTCGCTTCCCCGACTTAACCCATCAACTTCTCTGTTACTAGCCAACTACGAGCTACAAACGTGCAAATCCCAATTCTCAGATCATTCCACCGACTTCTCATTCCTTTCTTACAGTCTCAAGCTCAAATCTACCTGGTCTCCTCTACTTTGGTTCTTGGGGATATTCTATTGCCCCAAGATTTAAACAATGAGCAACTACGAACAACGTATCAGGTACTTAGAAGAGATCGTAGACCTCCTAATTGCTAGAACAGGACACCCTTTGTTCTCCTTGAAATGCTCGGCTCGTTTCGATATTCGATCAAGCAAGGCCTTGAACCGGTTTTACCTGAGGAGACAGCAACATTTCTAGCTACTGCTTGGCAGATTGGACGACCGGTAATACAGAAACATCTAGGTTCCCCGTTTTGTTGGCAGACTTTTGGACCAACGGGCAAGCCCCCAAACCGGAGAACTCGATTGCTTATTCTATTGTCACCCGAAGCGAAACGCAATCAAGCCTCCAAGCCGACATCGTACACCAATGAGATCACCCAAAACGGTCAAGCTAGCGATGTTGCCTTATCTGAAGTGTCCTCTCAGTGTTCATCGGATGAGAAATCAGACAGTACCACCTTGTTTTTAAGAAACTGTGATGAGGGACAGCTTAGGATAAGCGACGAAGAACCGGAAAGAATAAAAGATAAAGTATCTTTTAAGAGAGACAAACCTGTGATGAGGGACAGCTTAGGATAAGCGACGAAGAACCGGAAAGAATAAAAGATAAAGTATCTTTTAAGAGAGACAACTGCGAGTCGACCAGAATTGTGAGACGAAGAATAAGATCGAATAAAATTCATCAGAATCATAAAAGAGAACAACCAATATGATGACAGTACTTACACCTGTGATGAGGGACAGCTTAGGATAAGCGACGAAGAACCGGAAAGAATAAAAGATAAAGTATCTTTTAAGAGAGACAACTGCGAGTCGACCAGAATTGTGAGACGAAGAATAAGATCGAATGAAGAAAAAGAGAAAGAGAACGAAACACAAAAGACAACAGGATGAATGAAAATTCCTCATGAGTCATGCAACATCCCCGATCATCACCATGATCATTTAACCGTCTTCAACGGTCCGATCCCAATACCGTCATCATCACACCCCTCCATGTTCTCTAAAGCCACTACCCCCGCATCCATTTTATTTTTAGATAAGACTGTACTTGGTTGAGATTTTGTAAGGAAGTCGGCCAAGTTATCCGCCGAACGACAAAAAACGAGACCAAAAGATTTACCAATATGAAAGCGAATCCAGTGCAAGCGAATATTGATATGACGCGTCGCATGATGATAGAGAGGATTCTCCAAAAGAGCAATCGCCCCCTTGTTATCATTCAAAAGTGTCGGTTCTCCCGACAAATCCACCTTAAGAGAAGGGCCTATTTCGCCTAATAACGAACATAGCCATAAAATATCCTGCCCCGACTCCGAACAAGACCGATGCTCCACTTCCGTCGTCGATAAACCCGTAACCGGCTGCTTCGAACAGCGCCAACCGACCGGTCCTAAAAACGTTATTAAATTACCCGAAAACGAGCGTCCATCGATGGAACCACCCCAATCCGCGTCCGCCCACGACAAAATCCGGCTCTCTCCCTTTCCCAAAAGGATTCCGGTATCCGTCGTAGCCTTCAAATATCGCAGACAGTGATGAAACCCAGCAACCGACTTCTTCGTTGGAGCTAGCAAGAACTGAGAAAGAAAGCTGCTGGTGAATGCTAAATCCGGGCGTGTACATTGAACCAAGTAGTTGAGTAAACCAACTGCGCGTCGATAATCAATGGAGTTGTCCAGCACGTCTTCCGTCACGTTTGGTTTGCCGTTTATCTTAGGAATCAAAGGAGACTTGGTTCCATTACAATCAGCCATTCCAAACTCCTTCAGAATGTTCTTGACATATTGATCTTGAACCATGAAGATTTGACGTTTAGGTCGATTTCGAACCACCCGAATGCCTAGAACAAACTGGCATTCACCCAAATCCACCATCTCAAAACGAGAACTCAACAAGTCCTTCACCCAGTTTATCGCCTTCCCCCCAATAATCAAATCGTCGACATGAACAAAGATAAACGTTGTTTCATCATCCTTGCACAGAAAAAGGCACGGATCCGAGATTGTTGGAAAAAAATTGATTTCGGCGAAGAAATCAGAAAGCGCCTTGTGCCACATTCGTGGGCTTTGTTTGAGACCATATAAAGATTGATTCAAGTAAAGTCCTTCACCCGGCTTCAAATCGACATTGACACCTTCAGGAACTTGAATGAAGATGTCGCAATCCGGTTTGCCATTCAAAAACGCACACTTGACGTCCATCTGATGCAACTCCAAATCCAACAAAGCTGAGATCGAGAGAATTGTACGCAACGTCAAGAGCCGTCCAGTAGGAGAGAAGGTAGCTGTGTAGTCAATACCTTCTTTCTGAAGGAAACCTCGTACCACCAAACGAGCCTTGAACTTGTCAATTTCGCCGAACATGTTGAATTTAGTCTTAAACACCCATTTACAGGACAAAGGTTTACAGCCCGGAATCAATTTACGAATTGACCAGACTGCGTGACGCTCCATGTTTTGAAGTTCGTTGTCGATCGCCGCCACCCAATCAAGTGCAGCCAAAGATGAGATAGCCGCCTTATAAGACAAAGGATCAGATGCAGATGGTTCCATCACGATATTATTCGCTTGACGACGAGTGAGAATAATATTATCTTCCGACAGAGTAGAAGTAATATTACGCGGGGCAATGTCATAATATGGGACATTGGCATACCCCTTTTTTGATTGAGATTGCGGTTCAGAATTCTCCTGATTTGATTGAGAATTCGAACCCTGCAGCAACTGCTCGACCTGGGAATCATCAGAGCGTGATGAACTATCGCGTGGGGTATCTTCCATGACAGAAGTCGAATCATGGAAACCTTCAGAGTGTGAAGTACTACCCTCACCAATATCTCCCACATCAGCATTTGCTGGACTAGAAATAGCGACTTCTTCCGCAACAGGCAAATCGAAGATAGTCGCGTCGATAGATAAAGGAAGAGAATTCAGTTGAATTCCCGGAAAATGATCCTCCTTGAAACGAAGATTATGAGTAAACATCACCGAGTTCTTCTTACAAGACCAAATTCGACAGTTCTTGTGACCTTCTTGATAACCGAAAAGAATCCCTTTTGCACCCGAAGAAGACATTTTTGAATCACGATTAAGCTTCTCCTCATAATACACAACTTCGCAACCAAAGACTTTCAAATGATCCAATCTAGGTTCGTCGTTGTGCCATACAAAATAAGGTGAGTCCATGTTCAGAGACGAATTAGGAGTCCGATTAATGAGATAGACTGCCGTATTAACAGCTTCCGCCCACCAAACCAGATCAAGATTTCCTGTTTTTAGCAAACAGCGAGCCTTCTTGACGATAACTCGATTGCTTCTTTCGGAGAAAGGATTTTGCTGCGGTGTATAAGGTGCAGTTCGAAGGGGTTCAATCCCTTTACTTCTAAAGTATTCAGAGAATTTCTTATTGACAAATTCCCCCCCATTATCCGAAACCACAGCTTTCACCTTATGACCCGTTCCCGTTTCCATTAAATTGAAAAGTTCGACAATAACGTCGAAAGCTTCAGATTTTCGACCAAGGAACCGAACGAAGCGAAATCGGGACTTTCCATCAACCAACAATAAGAAATATGAAGACTTCGCCGGTGTTTGAGGAGAGATTGGTCCACACAGATCAATGTGAACAACATCCAGAATACCGGCAGGTTCCGGAAACGTTCCCTTAAAAGGCTGACGAGCCGATTTTGATAACAAGCAAGTATCACATTCGATCGAAGAGAATGGAATTCCTGGGAAAGATTCTTTGAGGAAGGCGTCGCTTGGATGACCCAGACGGTTGTGCAATGTAACTGGAGAAACTGTAACATTGTTTACATCCAGTCTGACTCTTGGAATAACCAAGACACCCGCGCTATAAGTTCCCTGAAAAACAGTTGAACCAAGATGATTAACAACCTGATAACGATCAGAATCCATAGGAACCACGGACATCTTCATCTTAAGGAGAGACGAAGCCGCGACAAGAGAGGACGAAAGAACCGGAGCGTAGATTGAGCTACCCAAAAATAACGGGCCTGATGTCGTGGTAAGAACCGCGTCCCCGTATCCATCCGCTTCTATCTTCTTTCCATCCGTGAGAAACAAAGTGATTGGCTTCTTAATGATTGAGTCGAAGAAGCTGCTATCATTTAGCATCGAAACCGAAGCTCCACTATCCAGAATAACTTCTCCCGAAGAATCCGAATCAGAAGATTTGATAGCGAATGTCTTCATATTGTCCCATGCTGGAACTGAAACATTTTTAGCTTGCTTTCCTTGAAAGAAAGCCAAAGCGAGTTCCGGATGAAGAGTAAAACAGTTTGATTCCTTATGTGAAGTTCGCGGATTATGGACGCCATCGTCGCATGATTCACGAACAAACTTCTTCTTCTCCTTTTTAGAAGCAACCGGAGTCGAAGACAATGAAGGTGAAGAGATTACTGGAGCAACCGACGAAAAAGCCGGTCGTTGAGAAGTATTCACGGCGAGAGCGTGATTAATTTCTTCCTTTTGGGAACGACGATTCACATGAAGATGAATCTCATTAAACACTTTCCGTAAACTGAGGTCCTCGTCCCCGGAAGATTCTCGAAGCAGAATAGTCGCAACGAGATCGAAAGACGATGGAAGCCGTCGAAGTATGATATGCGCCCACACCGAGTCCAAAGTAGCTCGATGAAATTTAGGTTTGATTTCCATTAAAAGATTAAAATCATTACGGAATTTTGTAACACTCCTTTCCAAGTCCCCTTCCAACCACGTAGATGAGATCACTCGATCCCAAATGGAGGCTGCATTTTCGGAGGACTTTCCGACATGATACCGGACAATGTTGTCAAACAAAACGAGAGGTTCAAAACTCGCAATTTGTTTCGATCAACAAAGCGAGATTCGTTGTCCTTGTCCAGCGACATGCGAATCATAGTCGTCGCTATTCGCTTCCGTTGTGCGATAGTGTCAGTGACACCAGCCGGTGGATCACCTCCCAACACCAAGTCCTCTAGGTTCTTGAGGACAAGATGATTGATTAGGGAGGTTCGCCAAGAATCAAAGGTATCGTCCGTGAGGACGACCATCTTCTTAGCACCAGCCTTTTCATCGAAAGCAACGGTAGCTTCGTGAGAGTCCGTCATCACTTTCAGAGGTAAACGTTCGTTCAAAGGTATGATCTTTAGAGCGCTGGGCTCATAACCTAAGAAACTGTGATGAGGGACAGCTTAGGATAAGCGACAAAGAACCGGAAAGAATAAAAGATAAAGTATCTTTTAAGAGAGACAAACCTGTGATGAGGGACAGCTTAGGATAAGCGACGAAGAACCGGAAAGAATAAAAGATAAAGTATCTTTTAAGAGAGACAACTGCGAGTCGACCAGAATTGTGAGACGAAGAATAAGATCGAATAAAATTCATCAGAATCATAAAAGAGAACAACCAATATGATGACAGTACTTACACCTGTGATGAGGGACAGCTTAGGATAAGCGACGAAGAACCGGAAAGAATAAAAGATAAAGTATCTTTTAAGAGAGACAACTGCGAGTCGACCAGAATTGTGAGACGAAGAATAAGATCGAATGAAGAAAAAGAGAAAGAGAACAAAACACAAAAGACAACAGGATGAATGAAAATTCCTCATGAGTCATGCAACATCCCCGATCATCACCATGATCATTTAACCGTCTTCAACGGTCCGATCCCAATACCGTCATCATCACAGTTTTTGCCAGAAGAAGCACTGTCTCCTTCTCCGACACCACCATACTTGCCATCAACTTACCCATCAATCACCCAAACTCCATCTCCAGACTCAGACAGGTCGTCATCACCAGCGTCTCTACCAACGAGACCACCGACACCCTCTATGGCAATACATTCCATTAAAACGGCCGCTTTCGGACCCGAGATCGCTGTGAAAGCTCAAGAGCCGACTGTGACCCCACCCTTACTAGATCCTTCTACTAAAACTACTCAACCCGCCACTAACGAGATTGATCCAACCGATCTACCCCTCCCTTCATCCAACTCCGCCTCGCGACCCCCATCACCTCGGCCATCGCCGCCTTTGATCGATAGCCAGCCGGACCCAGCTTCCGACTCCTTGGTCGTCCTACGTCCGGACCTTTTGTCCACGACCGAGGCCAATTCACGACCGAACCGCTCGTCCGTCCTCCCTCCACTGTCTCTACCACTAAGCACCAAGACGGCCGTGAATACATCATTGTTTTCCGCTTCTGCCAAGGACCATACCTCACTCATCATCCCAACAGTACACCAGCCTAGTAACGTGATCGTCATTGAATCTTGCGATCCCCTATCGTTCTCATCAACCAATACTTCTCCACCTCACTCCCAATACTCCTACTTATTCTACTTTGATCATTCATCCA